CATAATTTATTTTTATTTATATAAATTTTCTATTAATTAAATAAGTAGCATAAATATGCACTAAATGAATGTTTTAAATTTATTTTAATTAAAAAAAATGTGGTTTAGGTGGATGCTTAGGTGGCATTATGAGAAGAGAGAAAAAGCTAACTTTATATATATATTCTAGTTGTTAACCCGCGCTACGCGTTGGAAGTTTATAATTTTTTTTATTTTATTTTGTGTTATACTTTTTATTTATATTTTTACTTTTTTTTTTGTTTTGCAACGTTTGTTTTGTTGTTCTTTATTGTTGTCAGTTTTTGTTATTCTATTTTTCATATTGTTTGATGATTTTTCCTCACGGTGTGCATGTGATTAAAGGTGTCATGGGATTTCCTCAGCCAAGACTTCGGAAGCACTGAGACCTCGGGAAGTAAAAAAGGATTGGACACATTATGTTTGGTTCAAAGGGATTGTCCCAAATGTAACTTTGCATATGTGGGTAAGTCACCTTGATAATGGCTCACGTGGCAAAGACTTGTTTACTTGGGATAGATTTAGTCTTTAGAGTGTTGTCTATGGTTGTTTGTTTCGGAATCTTGGGACCATCTCTTCCTTTCTCCTGATTTTTCTGTCGAGCTTTGGATGTTGGTCTTTTCTAGGCTCTGCCCTTGACAATGACTTTTCGCCTCCTCGTCAAAATTGCTCTCTTGGACTCGACTCTCTTTTTCAATAGTCTTTGCTCTCGTGCAGAAGCTAACATCTCAAAAGATAGTCTATATTATTTGACGGCAGCGCAACAACGTCTTGCATAACTCCGAGCGTGGACACTAAAGAAGCGTTAGCACAAGCTCATGTTTTTATGGATTCGTAAACCCAAATCTCGCTTAATTATACAGTAGCTTTGTTTTTTTTCTTGGTTATTTTCTTGTAGGTTTCTTCTTGTAAAATCTTAATTTTGATTTTAATGATATTTACATTATAGGTAAGAAAAGAAAAAAAAAAAATAATGATGTGGCGGATGACGTGGCAGATGATGTGGCTGAAGGAGAAAAGAGCAAAGTTAATTTTATATATATAGATATTAAAAAAATAACCAATTAAATAAATATATTAAATTATGGACATGTGGTGTACCATGGAGTAAATCCTAGTAAAAGTGAAAAAGAGAAGCATGTCAAGCTTAAGAAGATTTTTAGGATTTTTCTAATTCATTTTCACTTTTAACCAAATATTAAAACTAAACCGCATAACCATGAAACTGATAGTATAGACCAACATCCACATGTGGTGTCGATTGACACCTACCCAAAATGTTCACGGAAGTTACAAAATAGGAGTAAATCAGTAACTGTTATATCCAATACTTTTTTTGTTAAAAATTGTTAAATCCAATACTTACATGCACAAACTTTAAACGAACAAGATTACATGAAATTAAATGCAACTTTCACATGCAAAAACTATTTTTACAAACGAACATGTTGAACCTCGATGGTACATATCAACATATGAATGATGAGTCTTGATGCAGCAATCATATATTAATTAATATTAATATATATCATGAGTTGTTAGAAAACGTAGATGGAGATGAGTTGTTAGATACAAATATAAAATGATAAAGCAAGTTGGTACAAGAATATTACTATTATTCGTAATCAGTTCGGTCGTATTAATAAGGCAAAGTCCTTAACTATGCTTTTTAAGGTAACCTTAAAATTGGATCTGTGACATAGAAAACGAGGTCTCTCATTATATATATATGATTTTAGATTCTTCATCTTTCTATTAAACTCCCACTTGTGTTGATCGTATCAGCCAACATTGGATCTAGATTCTTAATGTTTGTGATCAGCTTTGGTAAAACAAAATTTTCTCTTTTCACCATTTTTTATATATGTTATTCGATTTCTTATATATGTAGTTACGTAAAGTGGGAATATTTTTTAGAATATATAAACTTATGTATATATAGAGAGATTAGAGATAGCCCCTTCCTCAAATGTTCGAGTGATCTTATAAGAAGATATTGTTTTATAAATGCATCTCAAAATACTTCAAATAAAACGAATGAGCAAAGAATATCCAATGAGTTACGTACAAATTTTTTTTTGGAGATGAGACTCCAAAATTTGTTGCCAATACTTCAAGTTCAAGACGCTCGTGAACCTACTTTTCAATGTTGATGCTCATGTTTGTTTGTGTTTTTGCTAAGATGCGGAAAATTTAAACGAACCGAAGGAGTTACAATCTATGATTACAACTTGTAAAGATGGTTCCATGACGACAAGAAAAAAAAAACATAATATCCTTTATATTATAAAGCACAAGTCTCTTGCCCAATAAAAACATGCCACATAATATTCTAATTTTCTTTTGAGAATTTTTGAGAAACATCCCTTTTGGTGTACCATTTTTTAAAAAATACTCATTTTCTATCCATTTTCAAAAATACCCCTTTTCAAATATGAAAAATTATAAACTTTTATATAGTTGATAAGGTACATCAAGATCATTTTTACTACTTGGTGACTAAATCCAAATATTTATAAGGTTTTAAAAGGTTCTAAACGGCATTTATAAGGTTTTATAAGGTTTTTATAAGGTTTACAAAGTTTTTATAAGGTTTTTAAATGATTTGAAAAGGTTTTAAAAGGTATTTATGAAATATATATTTTTAAATTTACACACATATAAATATAATTTGTGTCTATAAATATAAGCTTACACATATTTTTTTGATAAATTTCAAATTTATAGTGACTTTTTGATAAAATTAGAAAGTGGAGTATTTTTAAAAACTGTTATTGGAAAAGAGGTATTTTTGAAATTCCCCCTTTTTTACATATAATTAAAAAAAAATCCTAAATTTTCTCACACATTACACCATGATCTTGGGAAGTTGAAACCATCTAAATATTTTTTAAATAGTTTCACCATCCTCTACAAAAATTCAATTCATCTTTTGCTCTTGCTTTCTTCACATTTTCATTACTTTTTATATTTAAAATAATTTCAAATCCATTGATTTGAAATTTTATTAAAAAAATTCTTAGTCAATTATGTTCTTTTTGACATATGCATATCTTAGATTCATTGATTTTTGTTTCAGATTCATTGTTCTTTATTTTAGAATTATTGTCTTCTTTTTGTTTTGTTTTTAAATCTTCGAAGATTTTTTTTCTTTTGTCGCCAATCTTCGAAGATTATATTAGAGTTGGATTTATACAGAGCAACTTAGAGGTTCATAATAATATGAAAAATAGTTTTACCCGTCCATGTATGAAACATCATTAATGTTATATTACTACTAATTAATTGTAGTTTTAGGGTTTATGAAACATCAACCTTAAAACTATTTTTGCGAGGAAATGTCTTCCATCGCAAAGCTCTTGTTTTAGTCGTTTTGCGAGGGAATAGCTATGTTTTCATCCTTCGCTAAACATGTGGTTTCTTGTAGTGATATAAGAGATAGAAGTAGAGAACAAAGTTGGATCAGATTTTCAATGTTATAAGTGCAATTAAATTTCATTTTGTAATGTCAAAAGAATTATTAAACACATAAAACATTTGATAAGTCTAAGAACTTTTGACAACTCATATTTTGACTCTTCTCTTTTAGTCAGTCAATGTATACATGACACACATTATAAACCTTAACTCAATGACCGAGGATTAAAGCTGAAGATAATATACATTACTATAAACACTATAATAATCCCAAAAATATCCGACTTTTTAAACCTCAGAAAGATCAAAACCGGAAAAAAGAAAAGATGATGCCATAGAAGAATATTAGAATATAAACATAATGAAAAAGAAGAGTTCATCATCATCGGACGACAGTGCCAAGTACAGCACTAGCCTCTCTGCCAAAAAAGCTTACACATACACATATGTCAATTACATAACGATACTATGAGCATTTTCAACCCACTTTTATTTTTGCATCTAAACTCTACTTTATATCGAATTTTGCTCTAACTCACTTCTATATTCACTTCTATTAAAAAGATTACTATTTTTATCTATATATATAAAGGAATTCTATTTTTTTCTCTATAAACAGAGTTGAACTATTTTATTTGTAAAGTACTCTTTTTAATGTTAAACTTCTTTATTTATAAACACTATAAATAAAATAAATATATTTAATAACTAATATATAAATATTTTAAAGGTTTTAATATAAATATATATTCTAAAATTTGAGACTACCATTTGCAAAAGTAAATTATATAAAATCTTATAAATATACATAATAATATATTTTATTTTTTATTAAAAGAAAAAACATATTTTATTTTTCATTTATTCCATAATAATTCTTTTAATACAAAAAGTAACTACTTAATACCATCGTAAATTACTTCTGGATCCACTAATATCGTTAAAATATTGTCCAAACAATCCAAACAAAATAATTATTTTATTAAAATTTTATAAAAATTAAAAATTAAAGTAAATAGGTTAATTAAATCTTTTTATAAATATATGGTATTAATATTAAAATTTTAGAAATAATATATTTGAAATATTCTATTATAGAGGAAACAATAGAAGAATATATTGAAATAAAAATTATCTCTATTATAAAGGTAAAAATAATAAAATACTAGGAAATGGTCTAATTCCTTTATAATAACCACATTGGAGTTTACAAAAGAAGCATCTCTTAAACAAGTGACACGTGTTGTTAATCTATTGATTGCTTTCAATACCACCTTGTAATAACGCCCCACGATTCGTGGTTGGGTACACCTGATAGTCCGAGGATATTTTCGTCTCACGCGCTCCTGTCTACGTTTGAACTTACTCGCTGGTTTAATCGGTCAAAGATTTGACTCTATCAAACTTGCGCTTGGAAAAGCGAGTATATATGTTTACTATACTCGCGAGAGTGGGAATTAATTGAAACTACTCTTCGTAATAAAACCAGCAGTGGTTTTGTCTGAATCCGCTCTTTTCCCATATATACCACAAACAGAAACCACAGAAGATATCTTTGAGAAGGAAAAAAAAAAAGAAAAAAAGAAGCTTCTCCTCTTCATCATCCTCTGCCTTTGTTTCCATTTATTGCAAAAACTTCTGATCAAGTAAGTCAAATCTTCATGATTACACATTCAAATCCAAGAAACTAGGAGAAATCTATATAAAAAAGGGATAAATCTTGAATAAGGAAGAGATCATCTAGATTTGATATCATTTTGACATTTACTTTTTCTTGATGCAGTTTGTTTTTGGAGTTAGGTTTCAATGGGGAGAGGGAAGATAGTTATAAAAAGGATCGATAACTCGACAAGTAGACAAGTGACTTTCTCCAAGAGAAGAAGTGGTTTGCTTAAGAAAGCTAAAGAGTTATCAATACTTTGTGATGCTGAAGTTGGTGTTATCATCTTCTCTAGCACTGGAAAGCTCTATGACTACGCAAGCAATTCAAGGTTTGCTTATTATATCTAATGAAACACATCTTCAAGTCAATGAAGTTATATTGCATTTGCCTTGCTTGTTAGATTCTTCACTTCGATCTTGATCTTAAGACATGTATATAAAGATTGTCACTAATGATTATTTTCTCATCTTTACATATTAGTTTCTCTATAGGGTTATATATAGGGATAACACATGACCTATTTTTGGATGAATGTTTGATGTTTGTTTCTTGGTTCTTTGGAACTAAAGTTTCACCTTTGTGTACTAGTATTTGAATATCCTGGTAAAACTTGTTTTGCTAAATCTGATTTGAAGACTAACTGAAATTTAGTTTATATCACTGATCATAGCTTAGTTCATTCATAGCTAAATCTGATTTGATCACTAATGATGCACATGATCCTACGTTTGTTGCAAAAGTGCATTAATATAAATGGCTACTGACGGGTTATGCCTTGCTAATTAAGATTTCAACTTATAGAAAGAATATGAACCACTATATATAATTGGTATATCTAATATAGATAAAAATAATAATTTGGTTTTTACTTCTTCATGATGTGTAGTAATTCATTTGAATACATAATTTCACATATATATGACCATGAGCTATTTGATAAATTTTGAAATTGAAAAGTTATTTTTTTGTTTTTTTTTCGATATAATATAGAAATTAGAAAGGCATTTGATAATAAGTATTTAAAATTATTTCCACCAAAAAAAAGTATTTAAAATTATTTCTCCCAATTTATGTTTAGGCTAAGTATGTAAACTAATAATGTAAGTACATTAAGAAAAGACATCGATATATATATCCATGTACATTTTCCTCAAATTGTTGTATAATTATATATAAACAAATCAGCCCAAATTAATTACATTTACAATAGAAAAACAATTATGCAAAATTCATTTGCTTGTTATTCGATAAAATTGATTTATAATGTATTTCTCTAATAATGTTGCAGATAGGTGAATGAAAGAAATTTTTTTTTTTATTCTTTTTTTATATTTCATTCACTTTTGCTAGTAATATTTCATATAGTCCACTTATTCCTTTTAGGTTTACCATTGAAACCTAAGATCATATACTGCACTATAGAAGTTGCAAAGCCATCTTTTCGTTAGAAGATCGATCTTTTTAAATTGTGTTTATACTTATGTGCTATATGACTTAATTAACCATAAATTATCATATTTTTCTTTGATAAAATCACCTGAAAATTTCATGTTGTATGCAAAAGACATGCATACGAACTCTTGTTGTAGCATTTTAGTGCTAAAAAATAGATATTGTAACACTTATTGTGTATCATCATCATCTCTCATATAATATCTGATACCAAATATCACAAAATAAAATTTATATTTATATTGTTTCTTCAGTTAATTATAAACTTATTGAGTTATTTTTAATATGTTAATGTATAATTAATAACATTTTCTTATTTATTTCTTTTGGAACCTGAATAGTATGAAAACTGTTATTGAGAGGTACAACAAAGTAAAAGAGGAGCAGCATCAACTACTGAATCATGCCTCAGAGATAAAGGTATATTCAACTTTCATTCTCTATACACATTATAATTTCTAATAAGGATTGATAAAAAAATTAAAGTGCATCCATTCTTCATTGATTTTTCTATTTTTTTCCCTTTTTATAAAGAAAAAAATAATAAAACAAATACCAAATGTATTATAGTTGAATGTACATAAAATGAAAAATTTATAAAATTTAACACCATTTTATAAAAATAAGTCACAGTACTTTGATTTCTTTAATTTTAACCTCCCCAATTAAATTTTAACCTCCCCAATTAAAAATAAGTCACATTACTTCGATTTCTTTGGTATATATATTTTCATCCAAATAAATTCTAAATGTATTTAAGGGACAATAAAAGGTAAATACAAAAACAAATTCACATTATTTGATAGAAATAAATCATATCGTTTCGATTTAGTTAATTTTAATCTTTCCCATTCTCCTAATAACCCCATTTTTAAATCCTAAAAATCCTCAATATTTCCTATATAAAAAAACTAAATAGTTGGTGACTTTTAAAAATTTATCTAGTTCGTAACTTAAAATAATTTAAGCTTACATTTACTCCCTCAATTTTTTTATGTTTAAGGTTCTTACAAAAAAATCAATAAAACATATAACTTCTATAATTCCCATAAAAACATCATTAATTAAAACGAAATCAACCAAATAAGAAAATATGATGTAATATATGATTAGTCAAAAATGTATTAAAAACATTTAATTTTTGCATAAAAGTTTGAAAACATCACTTCAAATAAAACAATTTTTTTTTGTCAAATAAAAAAAACCGAGGGAATATTATCTATCTGATTTAAGATATAAAAAATAATTCTCCATGTGCTTTTAAGTACGAGGTTGAGGCAAACACAATATATTTTTTTTTTTACATTCATCTATTTGTACATCATTAGTTTCTCTTTATGTTACTAGTTTTGGCAAAGAGAAGTTTCAAGTTTGCAGCAACAACTACAATATCTACAAGAATGCCACAGGTAAGAGCTATGCCCCATGTCAAAACAGAAATTGGATATTATATACAAAAATTTATCCCTATATTAATTTTTCAAAAGTTATCAATTATTAGACATGGAAAGTGAAAACAGATAGAACTTGACACAAGTATCTTGTTAAAAACAATGATGTTTCACTGCAAATGCATTATAAAAGTTAATTTATAATACTATGAAGGAAACTAGTTGGAGAAGAACTCTCTGGAATGAATGCTAATGATCTACAAAATCTTGAAGACCAACTAGTAACAAGTCTTAAAGGTGTTCGTCTAAAAAAGGTATTGATTCATTCACTTTTCGAAATTAAGCAACATAATTTGAATCGAATGATGATGACTGACCTATATTTTTGTTTTTTGTCGCAGGATCAACTTATGACAGATGAAATAAGAGAACTCAATCGTAAGGTTTGTCGACTAAAATAATCAAAATCTAGATATACATGTATATATTTTGGGAAAATTCTATTAAAAAATATTATACTTCAAACTAAATCCATCAAAGTGTCCAATTTATTAAAATCAAACCTTCAACGTGGTATTTGTAGCCTATATTTATCACCAGAGCAGTTAACTCTGTTAACAGAATAGTTCACCCCGTCAACAAACAACGATTCCGTTTGTTTTGTTAACAGTGATTTTGTGTTGATGGGGTGAACTATTCCGTTAACTCTATTACTTGTTCTGGTGATAAATGTAGGCCTACAAACACAAATGCCACATTGATTAGATTTGATTTAATAAATTTGACACTTTGGGTTTTTATTTGGAAGTATAATATTTTGAAGGTTTAAATTGGAAGCGATTGCCATCTTGGTGATCTTTAATGGGCTTTTCCCTAATATTTTTATGAAATTAACAATGTTTGATATTCTATTATAGGGACAAATCATTCAAAAAGAGAACCAAGAACTACAAAACATGGTAGATATAATGCGTAAGGAAAATTTTAAATTGCAAAAGAAGGTGACAAGTGATTTTATTTAGATACAAAACACATTTTACGTAGAAACATTTGTATTCATGTTAACCTAAACAAACACTTGTAGTGCCAACAGGTTCATGGAAGAACAAGTGAGATTGAAGGCAATTCAAGTTTAGATCCTATAAGCAATATTGGAACTGAAAGATGTGCACCACCACCACAACTTCAACTCATACAAATACAACCTCCAAGAGAAAAAACAATAAAACTAGGGTAAGCTATAACTTTTTCACATAACCCTTGAAACTTCTTTAAGCTTATATAGTTCCTAATCTTAATAGAATATGTCTGAAATATTTGAATCAGTTTACAACTTTCTTAGCAAAAGATGTTTGGAAGAGAGAAAGATACAGAAAAAGAGGTTTGTAGGTCATCTTCATTATAACAGCCAAGCTGGATCTTCATGTTATTCTTGGGTTTTTTTTTGTTTTTTGTTATTCTGTACTCTACAATGGGATTGGAGTTTGTATATGACATTTCTGTTTTTGTAAAATTATTTAATTGTCTATGTACATCATAAAATAATGATGTGATGTGAGTGCGTATATACTATGTAGACATCATTTATTTACCTTTTAAGTTAACACAAATTAATTGCATTTACAATAAAATTGACATTTTAGTGTTGATATATGACTCTCGATTCCAAAATACGAGTTGGTCTGACCACTCAGCATCTAATCAGTGTCTAGTGATATGGCATAGGCAAGATATCTGAATCTGAAAACCGATCCGAAGCCGAACCCAAAATTTTAAAATATCAAAATAAGTTTTAAATCTCAAGATTCAAAAGTTCCGAATCCAAAATCCGATCTTAATCCAATCCGATCCGGACTCAAATAAACCCACAATATAACTATACAGTAATATTGTGGGTTTTAGATATTTTAGATATTTTTAGTATAAAACTATTTTTTTAGTAATTTTCGGTAAAAATTACTCGAGGTTTAGAGATAGTTTATATATTCGAGTAATTTAAATATATTTGTATACTAAATTTTTTATAATTGTGAAAATGTGTGAGTGAATGAATTTTTGATTCACCCTCATTAATATTATAAAAGAGGAATTCTTCAACATAGCTTGATTTATTTTTATTTTTAAAAATATTACAAAAAAAAATTCAAGATGTAGATTTTTTTTAGGGTTGAGTTGACTATATTAAATTAATAATATTTTTTTTAAAGTAGATTAATTAATGTTTCGTTTTGAATATATAAACTTTTAGTTTTATTTTTATAGTATTTCCAAAAAATTATTTTAATGCTATTAAAAAAAACTATGAATATATTTTTAGGAAAAACATATAAAAAATTTCATTGACGGTGTCGCCCATAGATATTACAAAAATTCTAAAGATATAGATTCTTTTTTAAGGGTTGAGTTGACTATATTAAATTTAAAATATTATTATTTAAAAGTAGATTTAATTAGTGTTTCCTTTTGAATATATAAAATTTTAGGTTTATTTTTATAGTATTTCCAAAAACTTCATTTTAATGCTATTTAAAAAAAAATATCCGTAACACTTTTAGAAAAAAAAATAATAATAATATTTTGACGAGATTATCCATATTAAAATTTTCATTTGACGGTGTCGCCCATAGGTATTACGCGTGCAACGCCTTACCTCACATAGTTTTGACACAAGCCAGACTTACTAAACCACATGCCCATCTTTTTTTAACATTTCTTTGTATCAATTCAACGGTTCCCACAGATTTTTTATTACATGTCCCAACAACAAATCATTTATATATATTGATCCATACAATACTCACAAAGCTTATCCAATTCTTGATTTTGTTTTAAAGTTCTTCTTAGTCCTAGAATCAATGGCACCATCCGCTGCAATGCTCATACTCTCACATCCTCTTATTAGCCACAAATCAACCAATCATCAGTCTCCATCGTCGTCTCCGGCCATTAAGGCGTCGACACGTGTTTTCGGTTTTCTTTTGCCTTGGAAGGTATTGGAGGACGGTAAGGTTCGTTCCAAGGTTGGTCTTTGGCTCTTTGGTGATCCTGATACGGTTGAGAAGCGTTTCCAAGAAGCTCTTGAACTTAGTTGCTTGTAATTTGTATAATTGTCTTTGTGATTTGAGTTTATTGACTGTTTATTTTTTATTTTGTTTCTTGGATAAAATTTGAAATCAGAAGTTATGTAAAATTCAAACAATAGGCCTCAGGCATCTTTATAATAATCACCATTACGTGTAGCTTAGGAATTAAGACTCCTTAACATTTCTACTTTATTAAGACAACAATACATCAATTGGTGAGCAAAACAGAGAATGTAGAGGCAGTATATATATCCAAAAACAATTAGGTTGATGAAAATATTCATTAATTAGGTGATCATAAGAAATAAAATTCAAAACTAAATTTATTTGAATTGTTAAAAATGGGAGTACTCTTAAATCCGATCGCATTTGTTTGCTAGAAAGATCAGACCCCATCTCTCTCTTTCTTTGAATCTCTCCGAAGATTTTTGGGTTAGAGTAGAAGGAGAGGGCAAATCTAAAGGAGATGCTGCAAGGAGCAAAACTTTGTAACTGTAGGAGTGTAGACATCCAATTTAAAAAGATACATATTTTGTTAAGGAGAACTACAATAACATAATTGAGATCGATGGCCTCCTTCGTTTTAAGAGAACTAATACTCTACAATAACATCCAACGACAAAAAGATACATATATCAAAAACGAATTACAATAACATAATTAAAAGGTGTAATATAAATGATGGAGGCAAGATATGATTTATTTTTTCTTAATTCAATACATTGGGTGTAAGTCCTTGTGGACTATCACGATTTATGAATCCAATGATACTACTAATCACAAACTAATACTTTAGGACACGAGTAATAGACTCAAGCGAACTTGATATACGATATACTCTCGAGACTACTAAACTAAAAACTTACTTGGACAAAGAAAGAAAAAGGCGAGATTCTAGAACCGGGAGTTTTTTAATGTTTGAGAGCTTTTTTAAATAATGAAAGGTTGCGCCTCTTTATATAGTAGAAGGAGGTAAGGCTTCAGGAAAATATTCTCAGAGTATTCCGCAAGTTCCTTGGAGTGCACGCCAAATTACTTAAAGTGTACACCAAGCCTTGTAAAAAATGCAGCGGTCCAAAAAATACTCGGCGAGGATTCCGAAGAGTCTAAGAGCCCACGACCCGACCGTCCAGCCCAGTTTGGTTCGGTTCGGCGCGCGTTTGGAACCTTCCTTCTCTCTTATAAATACTTTTGGAACTAGATGAAAGTGAAGCCATATATAAAGGACTGATTTATTTCCTATGTGGGACTTTTTTCAATCATTCCAATTATCTCACTTCACACCCTTATTTCTCATTCAAATCAACTCAGTTTTGACATATGAGTATACCATCTAGAACAAGAAAGATTCATTATAATGGGCTAATGTTGGATTTTGATGTTTGAATGGGAAGTGGTGGACAAGAGACGAGAAAAGGCATTGTTTGGAGGAGACTGAGAAATTGGTGACCTAATTATTTTGATAAACACACAAACGAATACACAAACAATATACATGTAGTCTTAAGACTATGTCATCAGTTTAAGCTGTTTTAAAAATCCGACATACCATTGTGTCTATACATTTCAGAGATATTACAATTAACTACAACACATGTGATATTTAATGCTGATAGCAGTGTAAATCCTTTGGTGTGAGATGGATTTAAGCAGGGGATAATGTGTTTATATTTAGTTGGAGAAGCCTTGATAATGAGAAGCTAACCTTAACTACAACTATTTTTCCCCCAAAGATTATGCATTGATGTAAAGACCCATCCTGTAGGACCCCCTGCCACATGGCACACTCCGCCACATGGCAGATACAAGCGCTGCAGCGCCAGCTATTGCCGAGTTGTGGCGTGGGGTCCACGGGGCAGGTTGTTACTTAAACGTCGACTTTTATGTAACAACCCGCCTTGTGTGATCCTTCGCTATGTGGCAGACTCCACCACATGGCATCTTTATAGAACTGCAGCGCATCGACCCTAACCTCTCTCCTATGGGCTCAACCTGCACAGCCCTCTGGCCCACAGGAGAGAGGTTATGGTCGATGCGCTGCAGCGCTGTAAGGATGCCATGTGGCGGAGTGTGCTACAGGGCGGGTTGTCAATTGGTAACAGCTTGTCCGGTGGGAAGGTTGTTAAACGGTGAGGTCTTGGGTTCGAGTAACGCCAAGCGCACCAATAACCTACTTGATGGACCAAGGAAGGCATGTGGGCCAGGAGCAAGATTAGGGTCGATGCGCTGCAGCGCCAGCTGTTGTCGGGTTGTGGCGTGGGGTCCACGGGGCAGGTTGTTACATAAAAGTCGACTTTTAGTTGTAACAACCCATCATGTGGGACCCCTGCCACATGGCACACCTCGCCACATGTCAGCTACAAGTGCTGCGCAGCAACCCTAACCTTTCTCCTGGCCACATGCCCTCCTTGGCCCACCAGGCACCATGTAGATTATTGGTGCGCTTGGGGTTACTCGAACCCAAGATCTCACCTTTTCACGACCTTCCCACCGGACAAGCTGTTACCAACTGGTCTGCAGTTCAATTGGTAACAACTTGTCAGGTGGGAAAGTTGTTAAAGGGTGAGGTCTTGGGTTCGAGTAACGCCAAGGGCACCAGTAACCTACCTGGTGGGCCAAAGAGGGCATGTGGGCCAGGAGAGATGTTAGCGTCGATGCGCTGCAGCACTTGTAGCTGCCATGTGGCAGGGTGTGCCATGTGGCAGGGGGTCCCATAGGATGGTTTAACAAAAATTAACACTCCTTCCACACTTAGTGAAAACTAACACAAACTTGCTCTCTCTCGTCTCTTCACTTTCAGATTTCACAAGCTTTCTCTCTCTCGTCTCTTCACTTTCAGATTTTGCATCTCACTCCTAATCTTCGAATCTTACTGCTAATCTTCGAATCTCATTGCTTGTTCTTCTAATCGACATTGATTTGTAAAGTCTTCTGCTCCAAATCAACATCGACATCGAGTTACAAAGGTGAAGAAGATTTTCGATTGCTTTGGAAGTTTAGTTATGGTATCGATTTCATATATATTTAGGGTTTGCTGAAGAAGTTTTTAAGGGTTTTATAAATTTGGGTCTAATTTCTTAGGGATATTCGCTCAATTTGGGAATAATTTCTTAGGGTCTCGTTTTGATTTGGGGCTAATTTCTTAGGGTTTCGTTTAAATTTGGGGCTAATTTCTTTGGTCTTCAATTGAGTGTCATTGATTTTGTTTCACTATTTTTGTGTCTAATTTCACTATCCTCTAATTGGTATATAATCATACACTGGAGCTGTTTTGGTGCTACAACATGGACAAGTCATGGGTTTGGTTTCCGAGGTATGGACTTGCGTTTGTACTTATGTAATTACAATATAATGTAACGATGACTTAGACATAAAGTGACCGATTCAGGGAATTGCGGAGAAGTCAGATTTCCCACACCACTAGCCAGAAAGGAATAGTTTGCTTGGCTCATGCACTTATGTTACTTTTACTATTAGCATATAATAGAATTTTGAATTAAAATGCAGAAACATGTAATATGTCATATGTAAATATATTCTTTGTTGCTTGTAGAAGAAAAAGAGTTCAGACCCCACAAAAGTTACTAGGACAAAGGTTTGGGTAGCATGTCACACACATTCCGACGGGAGACCTATGAGGCCATAGTTTAAAGAGACTACTGTAAGTAATAAATTGTTTTTGTCTTACTGTTTTATGTTTTACTAATTAAGTTCAAATATCTGAATTCAGGAAAAAATTAAATCAGTTGATAGTGAAATGGACTCCACTGCTAGTATGAGTGTTAAAGAAGATGTTGTGAGTCAAATCTTAGGAAAAGACAAACCATGAAGAATTAGAGGAATGGGCAGAGGGATAACTGCTACTAAGTTAGCATTCATCCAAGCTAGAGACTCACATGTACAGAAGCTTGAAGCCAAACAAGCTGAAATGCAGGATGTTGTTTGTTGCTTGCAGGATGTAGTTCGTGGTTTAGCTTACTCAAAAAGTGTAAATTAACCTCAAATTTGTTATTGTAACTTAGCAAATTTAATTTAAGATCATGCATTGATATCTTTTGTGAATATTTTTCTCTCAGAAACAACCAGATAATGTCTCTAATTCTGAGGTCAGTGATCTTTGCAAAAGAGGACCTAGGTATCAGATTTTGGACTGGTGTTCATCGGATGAAGTTGTCATCGGAGAAGGAGAAATGGAGTCCCCAACATGTACTAAGTCTGCCGGTTCATAGGTAAAAGTTTGAATATATAGTCTATTTTGTTAATATGTAATGATGTAACTAATTCATGGTGATAACTAATATATTGTTGATTTTTTTATCTATAGGTTATAGATGCAGAAGATAATAAAATCAACATCTATGCTTGGAATAAAGATGAAGAAATTGTTGCAGAGGGTCGTCTTTTGTCAACTAACCCGAATGAATTGGTAAACAACAGTCCTCTAGGTCCAAATGCTAGTGTTGTCAAGGTTGATAAGGTATTAATTAAAGATGGATATCTTTGGAGACCAAATGCTGACATGTTGGTCATTAGTGATGCACTTGGTGAGAATATCTCATGGCCTATCAATAATATACAAGCTATCAGGGATGAAATGATGACAAAAAGTAGATCACCTGGGGTAAGACTCTAAACATCCTTAGTCTAATGCTATTTGGAATATTGTTCTGAATTATAACTTATGATTGACTTGTGATATTTTTTCTAGAATTTTCTACTTTGACTGAATGATTTGTTGTTGGATTAATAGACTTGTGATGAACTGTGTGGAATTTTATTTGTAGAGTGTCAGTACCAGTTTTAACACCAGCAAGAATGAGAAAAGTAGTGCATCCTCTTAGACTTCAATGGATCTGGAAAAAAGGTTGCAGAAGGGCGAGTTTTCTCAACAAAATCCAGAAGATAGAGTTCATTTTGTCCCCTTGAGACCTAATGCAAGCAAGGTATGGGTTGATGTTCCTACGGTTGATGATACACCAGTTTGGAGACCAAATTCAGAAATTAAAATCATTGTTGATGCTTTGGGTAGTATAATAGCTTGGCTAAATGACATAATCGCCTACATTTGAATCACTAGTCTTAATTATGAGTGTTCGATCTACTTGAAATTTGAATCGTTGATCTATACATTTTCTTATTTATTACTTGAAATTTGAATCGTTGATCTAAACATTTTCTTATGTATCATTCTACTTGTTGTTTTTTCGAAGCAGGTACTTTAAATTTTGTAATACATTTTTGGATTTATGAATATTTGTTGATCTAAATTAATGGGTAATCTAATTACTTGAAAGCTAGAAAATATTACTTATGTCTTCATAGCAAATATTATATAACAAATTTATATACCATGACAATGCAATGCCAAAAATGCTACAATATAAGTATCAATTATGACTTTAAATCCTCAAAGTAATAGCAGACAATAACGCTATTATAAAATATACAGTAGCATATACTCATACGCTATTGTAAAAAATCTACTGTAGCATAACCATAAACCGCTACAATAGGTCTTTAAAAGTGTTCATTGCCGAAGTCTCTTTATTATCAAGTGAAGACAAGAAAACTTGAGAATCAGATCTGAAATTGATGGTTACTTGGTGATTATATTTTTCAAGTCTTTGAAAAGCAACTGTAAGTGAAGGTTATAAGAAATTTAGATATTTCATAATCGTAGGCTTAAATTTGTTTCTTTATCCCGAATCATGTTATCGGGCTGACGTATCCCCGGTTCTTGGGGCTAAGTTTGTACGTTATCCCGAATCATGTTATCGGGCTGATGTATCCCCGGTTCTTGGGGTTAAGTTTGTACGGTTTATGATATCAATTAAATTTCTTATGAGAAAAAAAAAATGTTCGGAAAAAAACCAAATATACCCACTCTGGATCCGACCCGTTTTATTTCATCTCTTTCTTTTAAGTCCTCACATTTCAGTTTCTCTTAAGTTCACATCGTTGAGCAATAATGGACTCGTCGGAGATCGAAGTGGTGCCTCTAGATTCAAACTCTCACCAAAACCCTACCGATTCACCAACCATCACCGACGTCTTCTCCGCCTCCGCTTACGGCGATCTCCACAAACTCAAGCGTTTCGTCGAACACGATGGCTCATCTGTTTCTCTCCCCGACGCTAATGGCTACTACGCTCTTCAATGGGCTGCGCTCAACAACTCTATCCACGTTGCTCGATATCTCATCGAGGTAAACTCAGGATTCGACCAATTTCTCCATAAACTAGGTCTGCAGTGTTGTTCAGTGTAGTGATGGATTTGTGAATTTTGACATATTTTGCAGCACGGTGGTGATGTTAACTCAGTTGATAGTATACAACAGACACCATTGCATTGGGCAGCTGTTAAAGGTTGTATTGATGTTACAGACCTTTTACTTCGAAATGGAGCTCGAATTGAAGCTGCTGATGCCAATGGGTACAGGGTATATCTTCCTCCTTGAGTGTCTGATTCCGTGCTTAGTAATTTTATTAAGTAGAGTGGAGTTGAACTGACTGGGTCACGCTAGTCCCGCGAATTGGAGTTCGGATAAGCGATTTATCTATCTTACAAGGTGTTTTCTGTGCAGGCAGTTCATGTTGCTGCACAATATGGACAGACAGCTTTCTTGAATCATATTATTGTGGACTATGCAGCTGACTATAACGCACTAGATAACGAAGGGAGGAGTCCGCTACATTGGTATGAGTACTGAAGATAGTAGTTGGTGCTTAAAGTTTGTGTATTGCCTTTAGTACTGCTCAGTTCATTTAAAAATGCATGGAGTAGTTCTGGATATGATGTTTCTCCCCTTAGCACTGACTTCGCAGTTGTTTTCTAGAGTTAATTTCTCGTTACTTGCCCAACACAGATGTTAGGAATTGATTTCCCGGCTGCCTTGAAAGTTATGTGAAGTGATTGTTTTGATGTTAGACATACAGGAAAACAATAAGTTTTGCACACTATTTCTGTTCATAGAAGAGAATATGTCAAATACATGATGTATCTTCTTTTTCTTTTGTATTTTGAGTATTTCTGATCATTGTTTACTTAACTTGGTACTCTGCTACTTGTAAATTTGATGATTTTGGATCGACTTTATATTTTTCCTTGTTTGTATGACTCAGGGCTGCTTACAATGGATACACAGATACAGTCCGGTTACTTCTCTTCCGGGATGCATGTCAAAATAGACAAGACAACACAGGCAAATTGGAAACTCTCAGTATTTATTTTTACAGTATCTACTTTTCTGCTCTAGAATTAATAAAGAATGGCCTACAGCAGAATTTTTCCTGTAACCTTAAGATGTGTAAAAATAAGTGCAAAAATGTATGTAGGGATTGTTATAGAATCTGGACTGGTTTTGACTTGCTAAAAAGTGTAGAATGCTGATACCCTCATAGATACAGAATTCTTACATTAGTTACTTTACTGGTCAGGCTGCACTCCTTTGCACTGGGCTGTAATTAAGGAAAATGTTGAGGCTTGTTCTCTGTTAGTTCATGCTGGAACCAAGGAGGAACTGATATTGAAAGATAGCACAGGATCCACACCACTTAAGCTAGCATCTGATAAAGGTCACAGGCAGCTCGCTCTTTTCCTTGTACGTAATTGTTTAGTGTTGCTTGATACCATAATAGCATCCATAACTGGAAGACATCTTGACTGCTCAGAATAAGGTTTTCGAAATTTGATTTGTGATTTTCTGATTTTCTCCTTGATACAAAGTCTCCCTCTTTTTCCATTTCCATTGTCATTAGTTGGACAGAAATAGGTTGATAAGGCAATTTACAAAATGTTTTAATCAAAATAACCCTTTAATGTACCAAAATATGAAATAACAATAGCATTGAACATACGAGAGGTTTGATGTACCTATGGTTTTGCTTTTTCTTATGCAGCTCTAACCCAGATTGCTATTTACTATGCTTAACTGAATGGGCTTTGCTTTTCAGATATAATGGAGCATCATTGTGATATAAATCTTTTTCTACTGTCTGTTTTAGTATCACAGTAGCTTTAGTGTTCTCAATATGATGGCTGTCTGTTTTAGGGTCACAATAGGTTTTAGAGTTCATAGTATGAGAGATGGCTCGTTAGATGGCAGTACAGCTATTTTTTTAAATCTTCTAATTATTCCATTTAATAGTATCTCTTTGTTGAGAATACGGTTGTTGATATTTTCAGTCGAACGCAATGCAAACTCCAAAAAAAAGTTTTGCGGACAAGATCTTCTGTGGAAAATTGGGAGAGAGTAGCTATGCTCCTATGTTATTCAGCTTAATAGTCATTCTTATGGTCCTCTTTACCACATCCATTGTTTCAGGTGAATAACCCATACAACAAAGTAGTGTCTGTGTTTTTTGATTTTTTTGAGGTTCTTACTAATGGCTTATATTATTTCTTCCTGACATTTTGCATTTATGTGTAGCTTCTAATCTTCCAAAGATAACTGCTATGGTTGGCCTGTGGGCATGTTTTGGTCTTTCATCTGGCGTTTGCGCTCTGATAACCTTCTATCGTGTTAGCAGGTATCTTTGATAGTTATCTTCAGTGCTATCTGAATTTTTTGAGCTTATGTATTTCATTTTGTTGTTGTTATATAATGCGTAGCGAGAATTAACTGTACTTCTTCATTAAGAAATGAGGAGGTAGTGACTCTGAGAGAGGTATTTCTGGTGTAATGGTCTTGGAGTGATAAATTAGTCGTCTGCTTTGTACAGGAAAGATCCTGGGTACGTTAAAAGAACCAATGAAGCTGACAGCCAACACACTGCTAATGTAAGTTAAACTTCCTTATCGTGTTTCTATATTGAGAGATATGTGAACATTCTGAGTCAACTGTGCTAGCAGTCTAAGTTGGGTTTATGCATGCATATACATACCAACCAGTGTGCAGTTGTTTAAGCCTTTCGTCTTAAACATGCTGATTTATACCTGATTTAAGTAGACACCAATTGTAAATTAATCGAACAGTACTAAGGTGTTGTTCTGAAAAGTTTGTTCCACATATTATCTTCTGATGGTTTCAGGACCCTTTGATTGGTATCAATTTCAACAGCCCCTCTTGGAAAGGAAACTGGTCCCAACTCTGCCCTACTTGCAAGGTTTTTTCCTCAGGAACCCTTATTTTAAAGGAAACCTGACATTTTATATATGTACTTACTGACTAGGGTTATAACATTTTCTTCAGATAATTAGACCAGTGCGATCTAAACACTGCCCCACATGTAAGCGCTGCGTTGAGCAGTTTGACCATCACTGTCCCTGGATTTCTAATTGTGTTGGTAAGGTAAGAGTTCTCTGCATCGCGAATCACTCTCACTTGTTGCTCTGGGAATTAATTGGCAAGGATATAGTAATATGGCATGAAATAGCCTGGTCAGTCATACTTTTCGGTTTATAGTCTCTCTATACCATTTACTCATCTCGCAGAAGAATAAACGTGACTTCTTAGTCTTTGTGATCATGGGAGCTTTAACGTCATTCGTTGGTGGCACAACTGCTGTTCAAAGTATGTGACTAAAACAACTCTCCCTCACAATCCTACCCGTTAGATTTTACTATTTATTTCTTAAGCATCTGTTTCTGCTACAGGATTATGGAGAGGCATCCCACAGATACACCCCAGAGAATCATGGATTCAGTATGTAGTCATTGAACATCCCGACGCTGCCGTGTTTCTGTTTTTCGACTTACTCATTTTCATTGCGACAATGACCTTGACAATCTCGCAGGCTTATATGGTCAGGAAATCTCAGCTAAAATAAAGAACTGGTTCTCCCTCCCCTTTGCAAATGATTGTATAACAGTTTATTGTTGGTTGCTGCAGATAGCTCGGAATATTACAACCAATGAATTATGGAACTCGAAAAGATTCAGTTATTTGCGGGGACCTGATGGAAGATTCTACAACCCTTATAACCACGGCTGGCGAAGAAACTGCACCGATTTTTTGGTTCATGGCTACACCAGGGATGGCGAGGTTGTCCCGTCTACAATTCTCTGAATTTACATCTCTTCACCTCATTGTTGCATACATAAACCATCTGATTCAGTGCATTGTGTATATAATTATCTCCTCTTTGATTCATATGTTGCAGAGTGTGCAAGTTTCTTCTCCTTTACTTTATACACATCTTACACTGTAATTGTTTTGCCTATATCACTCACCAATTTCACCGTAATGCCACTCAATCCTTTTAATCTCTGATCCTCTTTGTTTAGGCTTTCATCAGAGAATATAAACCTTATGAACTTAAAAATTTTCTTTATTTTGGGTTCGGTGAAAATAACATTTGGTTCGCGTTCACAACAAACTCTGTGAATGCCCAAGCTAGGTGCTAAAGAAACGAACTACATAAGCAGCTTCATTATATCAAATACTTCAACGCACGAGTGCTTTAATCTTTTCATTGGCAGCCACGAGTTCTGCTGCTACTCCGGGCTCATTTGCCGAGTGCCCAGCATCATCAACAATCTGCAGAACACGAACACGAGAAAACAAACTTGGAAAAGATATTCAAGAAAACTTGGAAAAAGACTTAAAAGCTTACCTTGAGGTTTGCCTCTGGCCATGCTTTGTGCAGATCCCAAGCAGACATCATAGGACAGCATACATCATACCTTCCCTGTCCATTGTAATAATCCAAACATAATATATTAATGTACTAGCCAAATCCAAGTTAAACTGATGCATCTTAAACCTACATATACATATCAGCTTTTTGATAACGTGGGAAATCTAAGGCTGAGGATCTTTTCCTATCAAATTATCTTGCTGCTATGTTTTCTAACTATATAACGTATTGTTAACACAACTCGGCCTCATCCGATCAATCTACAAACCAATGCAATCCACAATTCAACTTCTTATATGAAAGATGTACCTGAACAATGGTGGTCTTGATATGTCGTATTTTATCAACATTGTCTAGCAAGTATGAATCCGATGAAAAGAAACCCTTGTTAAAAAAGTAGTGATTTTCAATCCTTGCAAACGCCTGCAGAGCAAAGTGTTAAGTTCAACAGTTAAGTAATCAGTTTGAAGATTCTACAGGTTTTCAAAGTTATATGAGCTTTAGATAATAAAAGATCAATGAATCAAGGTAAGACTGGAACACTCCTCGAACTAACCAATGAAAATTTATCATCTTCTGCTCTTTGAATGTTGTCATTATTCGGAAGAAGATGAGCAGTCACCATTTCCCATTTAGTCCAAGCTCTTGCTGCTGCATACTACAAGACACATAGATTTGTTAGTCCACACTCTTTCAGCTTAAAGTCCATTTTCTTCAACAGCCAAAAAGAATGATGTTATAAGATCTCGACTCACTTGGGTTTCCATATCATCGGAGTTCAGTCTCTTGTGATATGCGTCCACAAGGCAACCTCTCTCGTTTTCTGGAATTAGATCTCTGAACTCCTCCCAAGCTTTTAAAATCAAGAAACAAACACTTATGAATAAGTGAACTAACAGAAGCTCTTGAGGCATAATCTACAAATATTTTCACATATAACTCTTAGTCCCCTAAAGCTTATATAAAAACGTCTACAAAAGCAGAGTATAGCAATCCATTCACCTTACAAAAGACTGATATATGAAGAACCAATAACTCCAATACAGGAATACAAGAAAGAGAATTACCATCAGGATATATAGCAGCAGCACCACCTTCATAAAACCAGTCAATCTCCTTTTTCCGCAACAGAAAAATCCCTCTAAGGACCAAACCAGTAACCTTGCACCAAAGAGTAAATATATAACTGTGAAGTTACAGATCAAAACAACCAGAAGGAAACTACTTACTAGATCTCTTAGTTCCATCTATTCATATCATAATACAATCAATCAAATCTCTAAATCACACCTATTCTTCTTGCACCGATTATGCAAATTAAATTCCTAACAAAGTATAATTTTTCTCAGATGTAAGTATGTAAACATTTGCACCTTATCAGGGTGAGACTGGCTGTATGCAAGTGCTAAAGTGCTTCCCCATGATCCACCAAAAACCTGAGAAAACAGAGAAACAAAAATGTTCACACTCTTTAGTATATTTACCATCTCAGTAACAACCAAGAAGCATACATATCTGGAAGAAACTTTCTCACCTGCCATTCCGGAATTTTCAAATGTTCTCGTAGCTTTTCAATGTCACTCACAAGGTCCCATGTGGTGTTTTCCTCCAAGCAAGCATGTGGTGTACTCTTTCCTGCACCTCTCTAGATGAAAACTTAAGGGTGAATAAACAAGTTGGAAAATACAGTGTAGTGTCCAAACAATTAAAACACCAACCTGGTCAAACAGAATAATCCGATAGAACTCAGGATCGAAGAATCTCCTATTACTAGGAGCTGTCCCTCCTCCCGGCCCTCCGTGAAGAAACACAACTGGCTACAAGATGTTAATTCCCATAATACAATGCAAAAGTTAGAATCTTAGAGCTCCAAAACATTTGATCTCATCATCATATCCAGAAAAAAAAACTTAAAGGTTACAACGATGGCTTTACGTACATGTCCATCGGGGTTTCCTGATTGCTCCCAGTAAAGTGTATGAACATCAGAAACCTTTAAATTCCCAGTGTTATATGGCTCAATGGGAGAATAAAGGTTTCTCCTTTCTGCTTCAGGTTCCATCAAATCACTCTTCAACACCTCACTCTTACCACAACTAACACGAATCGGGCGAAACTTAATCTCGCTTTGTACCACTAAACATCAAACATATCTCAATTCAGATGATGAAATGTGATGATCCCACAATCCCAATTACAAAAAGCTTAAAACTTTAACCCTAATTCCACAAATTCAAGTCACAGCTATACTCAAGTCACAAAATATGTATATGTATGATTCAGAATCAAGTGAAGTTACTAGCAAATCAAGAATCAAACAAGAAGATGTAATTCACAAAAACCCTAAGACTAGGAGCTACGATTAAGGATCATGTGAATGAATGATTAATAAGTTTGATAGCAGCAAATAGAGAAACCTGGGAATGAGAGATTGAGATTGTTATGGTTTTGTGGGAAAGATCGAGCACTGAAGCAAAAGGACGAAGAGGTCGGTGGAAGTAAATAACTATGAGGGATGATGATAAGTCCCAAACTCATTTTTTTATTTTTGGTTATATATAACAATTTTATCCCGTTGTTGATAACGTAAAAGAAGAATGTGAAACTATTTGATTCGGTTCAATATTTCCCGGGTTGGATCTTTAATGTTAGAGCAACTATAACGGCATAAGCTCTCGGGCCTTCAGGCAATTTAATAAGGTCTAATAATCGAAACAGTTGGATTCTAAGATCCATCCGAATGCTGGGCAAGACTTTTTCCGAGCCGTGTCTTATGCCACGTGGCAAGACTTGATAGGTTTTCTTTTTGTGTAAAGAAAACGTTTTATGTTTTATCGAAAAAAAATCCCCAAATCGCGTATCTCTCTCGATCTCAAACCCTAGTTTGCGATTTCACAACTTTTCACCTATGATCTCGTCTTCTTCTCCGTCTCGTCTCACCTTGTTCGCCGTGTGGTCTCAGCGTTTTCTCCTTCCCCTCCGTCTCGTGCTCACGATGTTGTCGATGTCGCAGCCAAAAGCCCAATTCTATTTCTGATTTCTTGGAACCCTAGTATTGCGATTTCGACTTGTGAGAAAACGATCTCGTCGTCTTCTCTGTCTCGTCTCAGTGGGTTTTCCGTGTCGTCTGACCGTCTTCTCCTTCCCCTCCGTCTCCTCCTCACCATATTCTGGATCGACTCTGAATCCTCCTTGAGCGTGTCGTCCCTGGTGTGTCTCCTTCCCCAAATCGATTCAACTAAGGTACATGTAAGTCACTTCTTATTCTTTTGTCAAGTTCGTTATTTGTTGGGTTTTATGGCCAAGGATAATTATATGTGTCGAGTTCGTGTAATGAATTGGGTTTTATCCTTTCGTTTTTTGTTTAAACTGGAGTCATTAGCTCATATGTGTTTTTCTGATCTGATATTTAGTTGAACCGTTTAATTTATAGGGATGGAATTACAGTAACTTGTCAGTTGTACAAGTGATTTGTTCTACGCTTTAGCTATGTTGGTTTTCAAAGAGGATTTTTACATTATTATATTATTTAAATTTTAAGATACTAGAGGTTTAACCCAATAATCACTTCAAAATCTGTGGTTCTTAACTTACTCTTTAACATTATTAATATACATATAATTGTTTAAGATACTTCTTCAAGGTTATACCTATAAAGATGCTCTTACCAATCAGGTTGACGGTTTTTCAATCTAGTTTATGTTACAAATATATGAGTGAATGAAATGGGGAAACGGAGAAAATCAATCTAGATTATTCACCGACGACATTTTCATATCCCAACTCGAGTACTCTGTATTGTTCAATCCAAACCAGCTTAAAATTCAAATAACCAACCTAAACCACATCAAATGTTGTCGATTTCAACCTTTACATAAACAGTGTTAATTCGGATTTTGATGGTGCTGAGTCAGCCGACCCATTGGTGCAGACGTGGCAACGAAATGAGTAAACAACGTCGTTTAGAGTAGTTTTGTGTGGTTGTTAGAAGAGAAAACGACGTCGTTTTACATTTGGAGATAAAATCACAATTAGGGTTCTTCTTCTGGGTTATCGTGGATGACTCTCTGAAGAACCCTAATTGTGATTTTATCCCCAACTGTAAAACGACGATATTATATATTCGAGTTGAATACAAATCATAAATCTTAAATTTATTCTGTTAGGTCCTAAATTCTTTTATCCGACAACTCAAAATCAAACCAACTCGAACCCAAACCCAAAAGATAAATTTATATACATAATATTATTATTTTTATTTTTACTAAATTCAAACTACTCAAATACCACCACCTAGCACTAAGAAAAACAATCTTTGAATATCTTATCTAATATGTATTTTTTAGCTTAATTATCTCTTATTTTTGTCATCCACTAAGCAGAGGGGAAAACTCAACCGGGCCAACTCAAAGGACAATTGTTTACAAACTTAATAATATGCGCACTAGAGCGAGATCGACGAGCCAAAGAGTCCGCTTTTGCATTCATATTTCTAGGAATAAAAGATAGAGAGAAAGTCGAAAATTCCTTCCTATCCATGTTGATATCCTCCAGATAGACAGAGTACGCGGGCCACTCGTGCGGATAAGACACCATCTTCACCAAATCCGAACAGTCAGTAAGAAACGCAACGTCTCTAAAATTATGGCCTATCATACATCGCATCGCCCACACCAAAGCTTCTACCTCTACATGAAGAGGGGATAGACTCCACCGGAGATTAGAAACCCCCATCGTGATGTGAGAATCTTGTGTTTGTTGACAAAACCATCCTAAACCTCCATACAAATCTGAAGCCTTCCAAGAACCATCAATGAAACACCGGAAGCCCGAAAACCCAGAAGGCAAAGGATTCGGCACCCTAGGTGCACCGCAATCACCGAAGTGACGGTCCCTCAAGATTGTAAAATCATCTAACTGTGCATCATTCCAGAGACGAGCTTCTTTTGTTGCTATCCGAACAATCTCCATAGGATCTTTATCCAAATTGGCAAAAACCTTATCATATCTGGCCTTCCAGATGTACCAGAGAAGCCATGGACAAAACCTATAGTCATCCATGACCAAAGACGGAGGATATAGTCCATATTAGCAAAAATTGACGACGTAGGGAACCCAATAGATCCCACTGGGACGCTTGCTAAGGCCCAAGATTGTCTAGCTGGTGGGCAGCCAAAGACTACATGATTTACCATCTCCATAGGATCCCCACATCTTCTACAACTTGTATCACACTTAATTCCGCGCTGATTCAAATTAGCAAAAACAGAAATACACCCTATAAGTAATTGCTACATAAAATGATGAAGCTTTGGTGGACATCTTACTTTCCATATACCCGCTAGTAGTGGAATAATATCTAGACCATACACCTGCGGTGGTGACATTTGTACATATGGCATCCTTGCAGCATAATAACCGGATTTAACCGTATACCTTCCATTCTTCGTAAAACGCCAGCCATAGGAATCTGGTACCAAACAATTGCCAATCAGGAGAGCATTTATCAAAGCAACATCTTCCAAAGAGAAATGTTCATTTAACACGTCCATTTTCCAAGAATTAGTTTGACGATCAATTAACTGTTGAAAGTGAAGAGAAGGATCCATAGGCGATCCATTACTCATAGGTGGTCTCGGGAATTGGGCTAGAATCCAAGGATCTGTGCAAACGGATAGCGTGTCCCCTATCCCAACTCAGTTGATTAGTCCTTTCATAACCAGAGATCTAGCTGATACCATACTTCTCCATCCATACGAAGGGGAATATGATTTAACGTCTTCCACCGGAGATGCATTCCTGTAATATCTGCCCTTAAATACCTTAGCCAAGAGTGAGTCCAGACACTCAATCAGCCTCCATAGTTGCTTCGCTAGGAGCGCAGTATTGAAATCATCCACATTACGAAATCCTAAGCCACTGTTACCCTTACTGGAACACAGTTTATCCCATGCATACCAATGCATACCTCCACATTGACCATTTGTACTCCACCAAAACTTCACCACCGCACTAGTCAGCTTTGATGTTATCGAATTTTGGAGCCTAAAACAAGACATCACATAGGTTGGTAAAGCAGACGCAACCGACTTATTCATAACTTCTTTGCCTCCTTTGGACATAAATTTGGGCGACCAACCATTTATATGAGTCTATAACCAATCTCGAACAAAAGAAAAGACTTGCGTTTTAGCACCGCCAAGACTTTCTGGAATACCTAGATATGACCCCATCCCTCCTAACCTCATAATTCCAAGTGTTTCATGGACCTCCTTTTTAATCGTTGCGTCCACCTTATGACCAAATTGTAACGATGATTTCTCGAAATTTATTTTCTGACCTGACATCTTTTCATAATCATTAAGAATCTCCAAAACAACAGTGCACTCCTCTTTATTTGCTTTGCAAAGACTATCGTCCGCAAATAACAAATGTGAAATTGGTGGACACTTCTGTGCCACCTTTATCCCCGTTAAAAGCTTATCATTATCATTAGCAAGCTTAATTATCATTATTGATTTTTTTATTTTTTTTTGTCTTCTATTACTAAGAAACAAGTTAAAACCTTAAAAAAAAACAAACAAACTATACACCGGTTAGGTCCGGTTTACTAAGAATCAAGTAAACCGTTTAGATGAGAAGTAAACCGGTCTGGTATTTGAATCCACAAACACCTTAGAGCATCTCCAACCATGGTTCCTTAACATGGGGTGTTTATTATTGAAATTATACATATATTATTATTTTATTTGATGGGTTGCTTATTTAGTGAAAAATTGTTTCAAAAGTCTTTTAAATCTATTGTTTAAGCAACTTTAAATGTATTTTTTTTTAGCTATCTAAGCAATTCATACCATTTTTTATTAATAAATTTTATCTCTCTAAAATAAACAACTTTTGTTAAACACTCCTCAATGGAGATGGTCTTAGCTAGGGTTCTGCTCTTCTTCTCCTTGTTCCTCTGTTTCGTCCGACTCAGTAGTCCAAAGCCATCAAATTTGCTCCTTCGAACTCGATTCAGGTTTCATTATAGCAGATCTGCATTAATGGGTTTATCACGTTTTGCTTAGATTTGGATTCTCACAAACTTGAATACATTAGAGTGTTACTGATTCGATTAGACAAGTAATGTAGCAGAACAAAGAAACATATATATATATATAATTGCTTAGCTAATAAGATACCAAAGTTGATAACTTGTGGTTCTTCTTCTTAGTTTTTTTTCAGTAACTCTACTCATTTGCTGAGCCTATGTATCAATTAAGTTGTCAACATTTCTTAGAGTTCCCAGGTTTTTGTATGGCTATAGTCTACTCTTATGAGTTATGTCTGGTCTGCTGAAAAAGAGTACAGATTGTACAAAGTTAGGATGTAGATGATAAGCATAATTGTATAGTCTACTCTTATTTCATGTGTTTGTTTTCATCCGTGTCTAAAATCTCATGTATACTGTTGAAGTAATAGCTTGAACAGATTTGGCTGAGATGAGTGTTTGTTTATTAGAAAGATGAAAGTTTGGATTTTTATT